GTCATTAGTGATTATCTCAATTTCGGCCAAAAGACTTGACAAAATCCTACACACGGTGCCTTTAATCAGAGCCTCAGATATTAAACAGCCTATTCAGAAGTCTATTGATTCTTTGAATCTTTGGGTAGTTTCTTTGAGTTTCATGTTTCTAATTACCTCTTTACTGCTTCATCACATCTCGCCTTGCAGCTGATTGTTTCCTCTCTTCGCTCTGTTGGTGATGAAACACGCAGCGGCCCCACCACCACACACAGCCAGCTGAAGACTGCTACATCTGTTCTTGTAATTATTCTAATGTGGTTTAACCTGATCTATTGATCTGTCCGGGACTCTGCAAATGAACATTTGTAAACTATTTCTTTCTGCGGTCTGTAAACGTGCACCTGCTCCCAGAAACAGATCGGTCATCAGCCTGCGCACAAGCCTAGCCCTGCTGAGCGTGCACGTGTTGCAGTTTAGATCTGAAAGCACCAAGATGTAAGACAGTAATGAGGGTTTATAGATCACTCATTTTTGGATGCGAACATATGGAAAGTATTGCTTATTTGCATTTAAGGAGCCATTGACATTTAGAATCAGTCAATACGTTTTAGTAGATTCGTTTTGACTGGAGTAACTCACAACACACTGATTGTAGAAATCTCACAGATTAAAAAAATCATATAGATTGTGTGTGTATATTATTTTATGTACCGATATGATGATGATTGGTTCTCATGTGACCCATTATAGATGTGAGTTAAAAGTGTAAATCAGCAGCTTTATCACGATGCAATATCTATTTGTTTAGCTGACGATACAATCTTTCTCTATCACAAAGTCTGTGTCATGGATGTCCATGATTTAAAACCCAAATGTAAAGGTAAAGAGGCTTTAATCAAAATAAAAGGCTGATGTGGCGGCTTATTAGGTACTTACATAAAATTTACATAAAGTTTCACAAAATGACTGGAGGAACACAGGAGGCCAGCCATGACTGACCACAGAGTACAATCCAGGACTGACAAAAAATGAGAGGACTCGGAGTATAAAGAGAACTTGATCAACCCAAACCACCTGTGAGGGAGACAACTGAGAGGAGGTTAGAGTGGGAGGGGCTGAGGAGGAACAGGCAGGTAAAGGTATACATGGACATATGGACATTTATTTGTGTTTGACAACAACATGGATCAAAGGTTTTGTTTTGCCTTGATTTTGAATCATTAATCATTTAATCTGATTATTTGATGATAAAATAATTGCTCCCAAGTGGAGCAGCAGGCAGCTGTTTAAGCTGCCTGAGGAGAAGTTGGGGAATAGGTGTCTTGCTCAAGAGCACTGCGACGTATGAGCATGGGTGAGGAATCAAACCTGCAATTTTCTGGTCCTAAGTCAGCTGCCAGACCACAGCCACACTATACTGAACACTTTGTAACACACTGTAAGACTTGCAAACCACAATTTTCCTTTTTATCTGATATTGCAGCATACCAGCAACAAACTCCTTTTCAGAGAAGTCTAACAAAGATATGACAAGATGGTGGGTGGGGTGGGGGGGTCTCCTCCAGCAGACATCAACAATCTTCCTCCTGCCTCTTTTGTTTGCCTGAGGCAATGACACCAAACAAACCTTGATGCATTTTTTTTTTTACTTTTTGTAACATTATCAAGTCTTTTAAGTTTTATGCTATTTTACATTCATATTGCTCCCTAATATTTATGTTTGGCATACAGTATACACCGTTACAAGGAAGTAAAACATTCAAAGACATAAAGTATGTTTTAAGCCAGATTTTTAACACAGATTTGAACTTTTCATCTACACTGAAAACAAATGATTTTTGGGTGTAGTAACATTTATTTAATTATTCTTTTAAATTTTACAAAAAAAATCAAAATTTCTAAAC